TTTCTTTGGTATTTTTTGTTTTGGTTTGGTATTGCTAAAGATATGTACTATATAAACTGTTGCAATGTGTAATTTGCTGATGCTATTATTCTCAGATGTTCACTAGCAGATGTGCAAAGACAAATAAAAATCAGATTTATAAAGATACTGATTAAAAATTACAGTAATAATGAAAACAAAGTAAAACAAAAAGGTATTTGACTTATGTCGGAACCAACTTAGTGACTGAGTCATCAGAATAGAGCCCTGTTATAACTTGGGGACTACCTGTGTACATATGCCTATGTATACATCTATATACACACATCTGTATATTCATATGTACCTTCATTATTATACACACACACACACACACATATATACATAATTCACACACACATATAAAAACCAAATGCAAATGCACTGCCATCGAGTTGATTAGACTCATAGTGACCTCTCCTTGGGTTTTCAAGGTGGTATCTCTACAGAAGTAGATTGCCCAATCACCCTTCCAAGGAGTGGCTGGTGGGTTTGAACTGCCAGCCTTCTGGTTAGCAGTCAAATGCCTTAGGCATTATACCACCAGAGTGCCTATATATATATATATATATATATATATATATATATATATATATGCGTTGTCTTAGGCTGGGTTCTCCAGAGAAGCAAAACTACTAAAGGCTGTGTGTGGTGTGAGTGTGTGTGTGTGTGTGTGTACAGAGAGAGATTGAGAAATTTATTTCAAGGAAATGGCTCACACAGTTGTAGAAACTGGCAAGTCCCAATACATGGGTCAGACATTAAGCTGGATGGTTCTCCTGACTCATGTAGCTGCAGTTGCAGGGGCTGAGAAACTTAAGATTGACAGGCAATATAGCAGGCTACTGGCTTTAGAGGCTGACAAATCCAAGATCAGCAGCTAAGATGGTAGGCTGTTGGCTCATAGTCTGGGAAGTCAACAATTCCAAGATCAACAGACAATTTGGCAGGCCACTTGTTCAAGTTCAGAAGCTGGAGGTCAGATGACAATGAGGCAGATGCAGGATTCATATCAAACAAAAAGCTAGAGATCTTTGCCAGGATGTCCATATATATTGGAAGCAGGCTACACTCATGAGGTAAATCCCTTTCAACTGATTGGCTGCTCATAGGAGACCTCATGGGGTAATTACATTATATCAGATTTCAAGATTTCATCATGGAAGATGACTACCTCATAGCTGCTAAACCACTGAGAATCATGGCCCAGCCAAATTGATACATAACTTTAACTATCACATGCATACTATCTATCTATGTAACCACTCACACATTATTTAGTTGTTATTGTTGTTGTTGCAAAATTGTATATATTATATCATTTATAAAATTATCCCTTATTGTGCCATCATTCATCTTGGTCAGGTTGTACTGACTTCACCCTACTGCCTTTCCTATTACCAAATCTAACAAGTGTCTACTGTCTAGAAAGTGGGTCCCCCTCCCTCTCCCTCTCACTCTTGGTAACCACCAAAGAATGTTGCTTTCTATATGTATAATTATTCCTTTTTTAAAAAAGTAATAATGAGATCATACAATATTTATCCTTTTGCAATTCACTTATTTCACTCAGCATAATGTCCTCCAGAATCATCCACATTATAATATATTTTGAGAACTCATCATTATTCTTAATGGCTGCAAAGTATTCCATTGTGTGTATGTACCACAGTTGTTTTTCTTTTTATCCATTTATCTGTTAATTGGTACTTAGACTGTTTCCTTTTTTTTTTTTTTTTTGTCATTGTGAATAATGCTGCAGTGAACAGAGATGTACATATGTCTGTTCGTGTCACAGCTATTAGATGTCTAGACTCTATGCCAAGGAGTGGGATTGTTGGGTCATAGGGTAATTCTATTTCCAGCTTTTTGAAGAAACACCATACCATTTTACGTAATGATTGAACCAATTTACAATCCCATCAGCAGTAGAGTAAGTTTCTAATCTTCCCGCATTTGTTGTTTTCTGGGTTTTTTTTTTTTTTTGATCAGTGACATTTTTGCAGGGGTGAGATAGTACATCACTGGGGTTTTGATCTGCATCTACTTAATGGCTAATGAAACATGAGCATCTTTTCATGTGTTCATTGAATCCTTAATGCCTTCTTTGGTGAAATGTCTGTTCATGTCCTTTGCTCATTTTTTAATTGGATTGCCTTTTTATTGTTGATTTGTTGAAGTTTTCTACAAATTTTAGAAATTAGAGCCTTAGCAGATATCACATTCTTGAAGATTATTTCCCAGTCTGTGGATCTCTTTTTACTCTTTTGGTAAAGTCTTTTGATTAGCATCTAAAAAATAAAACCCACTCACTGCCGTAGGGTCATTTCCAACTCATAGCAACCCCTCCTTGGATTTCTGAAGCGGTATCTGTACAGAATTAGATTGCCCAATTTTCCTATTTTTATGTGGTCCCAGATATCTAATTTATCTTCTGCTATCTGTGTATTTATAGTCACGTTTGATATTTATTTCTAAAGAAAATTAGGTCCCATAGTATTTTCCCTGTATTATCTTTCAGGATCTTTATACTTTTATCTTTAGTATTTAGGTCTTTGATTCATTTTGAGTTAGTTTTTGTGTATGGTGTAAGGTACAGACCCTGTTTCATTTTTCTGAAAGCAGATACCCAGTTTGCCAGCATCATTTGTTAAAGAGACTTCCTTCTGAATTCAATGGACTTTGACCCCTTGTCAAAAATCAGCTGTGCATAGATGATGAATAGTGATTTTGGCAATCACTCTTCAGATGCCAGTTCCTTTTTGGAACTTCTTACCTTCAAGCTTCTATGGTGCTGAATTTTACTTAATATATTCATGTTATTACCATGAAGAGGTCCTTAGGTAGTGCAAGTGGTTTGCACTCGACTACTGGCCTAAATACTAGCAGTTCAAAGAAGAAAGGTCTGGTGATCTGATTATGCAAAGTTTGCAGCCTAGACAACTCTATGGAGGTAACCATGAGTTGGAATCAACTTGATGGAACAGGTGTTTTTATTTATTCATTTTCATTGAGAAAAATTTCAGTCCCCTCTTTGGCATGGTGCTGTATTATTACATTTCACAAGAGTTTTTTTTTGTTTGTTTGTTTTTAATTTTATTGTGGTTTGGGTGAAATTTTACAGAGCAAATTATTTTCTCATTCAACAATTTATACACATTTTCTTTTGTGACATTAGTTACAATCCCCTCAATGTAATTGCACTCTTTTCACTCCCTCCCTGGGTTCCCCATTTCCATTTATTCATCTTTCCTGCCCCTTCCTGCCCTCTGGGCTGTGTTTTTGGGCAAATGCTGCCCTTATGGTCTCATAAGTTTGATTTTTCTGAGGAGCACTTTCCTCACAGGTGTTATTGTTCATATTATAGGCCTGTCTGTTGTTTGGCTGAAAGGTGATCTCTAGGAGTCAGTTCAGTTCCAGGCTGAAAAGATATCTAAAGACCATAGTTTTGGGGTTCTACCAGTCTTTATCAAACCAACTTTTCACAAGAGTTTTATAAAAAGAAACAGAAGTACTAAAAAGAGACAAGAGAGTCTTACATAAAACAAAAAAGTAATTTTAGGGAATCCTTTTTTTTTTTTTTTTGCCAAGTGCCCTAGTATCTCTTCAGTACTATGTAAGCAAAACAGTGAGAAGGAAGAATTAAAATTTAACTCTTCCTCATCCAGAGAAGTAGAATGTACTTTTATGATACTTACGTAAAGTACCTATAAGGGCACTACAGTTTTTAATGAGAAGTGATGTAACATATTTACTTTTTGGTTTTTATGTTCATTTTACACTTCCCCTATATTAAAATTATATGTATGTATGTGGAGGATGGGAATGAGTGTTGAGGGAGACATTTTATGACAACCTCTGGTCTAAGACTTTCTAAGATAGCTTCATTCATTTTCTAAATTATTGAGCTAAACTACAAAGTTTTGCAGTCAGCATTCACTGGAAAATCATTTATATCTTTTCCTATGAAACCATATTACCAGTTGCCATCAAGTTTGTTCCAACTCATGCTGACCCTGTGTGTGTCAAAGCAGGGATCTCAAAGGTTGATTTTTTTTTTTTTTTTTGATAGATCACCAGGCCTTTCTTCTGAGGTACTTCTGGGTAGATTCAACCCTCCAACCTTTCAGTTAGCAGCCAAACCTGTTAATCGTTTACACTATCCAGGGTCAATCTATGAGATCATAGTGTTCTTGGATCCATTATTATAGATCAAAGAATGTTTGAGCTTAAAAGGATGTGGTAACCCAAGCTACTCATGTTACAGATAGGGAACGAGACAAGAAGACTCAGAGAGATTCAGTGGCTGCCCAAATTAATATGACTACTTAATGGCCCAAGGAGGGGTCGCTATGAGTCGGGTCTGACTCAACGGCAAATAACAACAACAACTCAATGGCAAAGCAGAATCTCAAATTTAAATTTCCTGACTCTTCAGGGCTCCTTCTATTGAAATGCTTGAAATTTGTAGAAGGACAGTAACAGAATGAGTTTCTGAGGTTATGCTGTCCAGTAGGGTAGCCACTAGCCACGTGTCACTATTGAGCACTTGAAATGTGACTAATCTGGATTGAGATGTGCTAAGTGTGAAATAAACACTGATTCTGGATATTTATAACATATCTCATGAATAGTTTTTGTATTGATTACATTTCAAACGATAATATTTTATACATATGTTGTATTGTGTTTTGGGGCAAATGCAGAGCTCCCAGGTTTAAATAAGTTATCTTACTAAAATTAATTTCACCAGCTTTTTTTACTTTGTTTTTGAAGTGGCTACTTGAAAAGTTAATATGAATGTGTGGCTTGCATTATATTTCTATTGAACAGAACTGGTTTCAGGATTCATATTAAGGTAGCATCTCTCTCATCCACTCTTTCATGGCATCCTCCACCTTTGCACAAAATATATAACTTTCCTGTCTAGAATTTGTATATACAGGAAAAAGGGCAGGCATATCCAAAAGTGACCAAAGTATCAAAAATAGTTTATCAAATCACAAAAAAAAATAAAAGCAAACAAAATATTGGAAAGGCCTTGGATGTTCCACACATTTTATGGGGAAAAGAATGTTTAACAAGCATTCATTTTTTAGTTGCAAAGAATAGCAAGAAAGCAGAGCAAGCTTAAGACAGGCTTTGTGAGGATAATGGAGTAGCCCATGGAACACAAATTCAAAGATACAGTTGGCCTCAGAAGTACTGAATTTGGGCCTGGACCCTCTCAGTTGCTCAATGAGTCCTTTCTCTCCCTCTGTCATCTCTGTGATGGATGAACTCTGGCTTTCATCCTAATCCACACATTGATGATGATAACAATAAACAACAACAAAGTTCCTGAACACTTACTGGGTGCTCGGCACTGTGCAAAATACTTCATATGTATTATCTCCTTTAATCCTCATTCAGTCTTCATTCAGTGCATAATTGTTCCATTGTGAGAGAAGGAAATTGAGGTATAAGTAGGTTTAAAAATATTTCCCCATAGCCATATAGCTATTAAATAGTAAAGGCAAGATTAGAATTAAGAGGTAAGGTGCTTAGGAATATGGCAGGTTGTCTCTTCTTGTGAAGGATGCTTATCACCAACAGTGTTCAATTTTCATCTCTTAAAACAACAGTACTTACTTCATAGGGTTGTGAGTGTTCAATGAGATATTGCTTATAAATAGCTTAGTAGAATTTCTGATATGTAGCATGTGCTCTGGGGGTATTAGCTGGTGGTGGTGTTACCGTTATTGCCTTTGTTCAAGAAAGCAGCTAGACTGAGACCAGAATCATAGTTTTGATTTCAAATTATCAGTGAAAGGATTCTGACTGGTAGAACACAAATTAAGAATCTAATTCTGAGCTATTTTCCAGGAGGTTTGGATGGTTTCTAGGGTTTTATCCCTATGAATTGAGTACAGAAAGGAGAAGTGGTGGAAGACAGGCTACCATCTGAAGTGGTGTTGAACATAATGTCTCAAAGTAGTGAATAAGTATTATTCCAGCACCAAACATCACCATCCCATTTTATTTACTAAACCAATTTAGCAAGTTAAAAGTAGCACTGAAGGTAAAAAACAACAGTTGTCATCTAGTTGATTTAGAGTCATGGTGCCCCTAGGTGTGTCAGAGTAGAACTGTGTTCCGTAGGGTTTTTAATGGCTGATTTTTCAGAAGTAGATCTTCAGATCTTTCTTCCAAGGTGCTTCTAGGTTGGCTTAAACCACCAACCTTTTGGTTAGTACTCGAATACATAACTATTTGTGCCACCCAGGGTCTGCACTGAAGATAGAACTTGCAATTCTGAGTTCTAGAGTGAAACTTCTTGTATAGATTATATTGATTAGTAATGTTTAAACTACAAATATCAGAAAATCAAATTTATAGTCAATTCAAGAAAAGGGTTCATTTTTCACACATAACCAGAAGTTTGAAGATAAGGCTGACATCTCTGAGATTCTCTCGGTCACTTTCTCGAAGTTGCAAGATGGCTGCCCTAGGCAGCAAGAAAGCTGGGTTGAGATTGACTTGGAATGTTGGCTATGTAGGCATATAAAAATTTACTTCAAAAGAGGTATAGACAACATATAGCAGATACCAGAAATATGTTACATAGAGTGTTTTACCTAATCCATTTATCTAAAAATGTTGCACCATAGACATTTTGTTGTTGTTGTTATGTACTGTCAAATTGGGTCTGACCCATAGGGACCCCTCCTTGGGTTTCGGAGGTGGTATCACTATGGAAGTAGATTGTCCAACCTTCCTTCTGAGGAATGGGTGGTGGGTTTGAACCACCAGCCTTCTGGTTAGCAGTCAAGTGCCTTAGGCAATATGCTACCAGAGCTCCCACCATAGACATTAGGAGAGTACTTTATCAGGGAAATCACAAACTACAATAGTATGTGCATCATTGCATAATTCCATTTTATCAATTTCACCACAGAAATAGGTGCATCAAGTTATCCGTGCTCAGAAACCTACTGTGGACCCTACCCTGAATCGGAACCAGAAGTGAAGGCAATGGCTGATTTCTTGAGAAAAAATATCAACCACATTAAAGCTTACATAAGTATGCATTCATACTCCCAACATATATTGTTTCCATATTCCTACAACAGAAGCAAAAGCAAAGACCATAAAGAGCTGGTAAGTGCTGCTTAATAATTTTTCTCATTGACTTTTGTTGAGGAAACGTTACCAAAAGCAAAATCCACTCTCAACCCGGGAAACTTCTCCACAAAAATAGATGAGAAAGAAAATGTTTTATTACTGAATAAGTATCAAACCAGAATGTGATGCATCACAGACAATCTGGTAAAGATAGTGCAAAGACAGAAAGAAATCTGACATTTTTAGATAACTAAATAATAAATAAATATAAGAAATACCTGAAGTTATGCTCATATTCTTCCAGGAAACTGGGAGGTGGGTGTGATCTTCCCTGGTGATTGTAGTTCAAAAGACATGGTTCCCAGGCCCTTGAGAAAACATCCTTCATTTACATATTTTTCAAAGAAACAAGGAATTTGCAATTACAATTTATCAAAAGTGCATTCTGAAAGAACTGAGGAGCAGGGAATCAACCATCAAACACCAAACTTGTTGCCATCCAGCTGGTTCCAACTCATAGTGACCCGACAGGACAGAGTAGAACTACCTTTTTAAGGAAACAGACTGTTCCAACTTTCTCCTACAGAGTGGCTGGTGGGTTACTATAGAATAAGCATTGAATCAGAATGTGACGCTTCACAGCCTATCTACTAAAGAGATTGTAAAGACAAAAAGAAATGTTACCTTTGTACAACTGAGTAAGAGCTCTGGTGGTATAGTGGTTAAGGCTTTGGCTGCTAAACAAAAGCTCAGTGATTCAAACCCACCAGCCACTCTGCAAAAGAAAGATGAGGCAGTCCACTTCTGTAAAGATTTATAGCCTTGGAAACTCAATGGAGGTCACTATGAGTCCAAATTCACTCCATGGCAATAAGTGGTTTTGGTATACAGCTGAGTGCATATGACCTGTTATATTCATGTTTTCAAGATACAATTGGTAATTTCCAAGTATCTTTATGGCCAGAGAGAGGCTTGAAATTTGAGGCCTGGACCATCTGAGGTTATACTAATCATCCACAAAATTGGAAGGTAGAGGAGGATTACCTGAAGTTACGTTCAAAAGAGATAGCTACCAGGTTCTACTTAACACCTTAGATTTGTTTTTCAAAGAGACAAAAAGATTTGCAATCATAAGTTATCTAATGTGATTTCCGATAAAACTGGGAGAAGCCCTTCCCCTTATTTTCCACAAGGAGAATGAAAGGCTTTTGTTTCCAGTTTATATTTGTCCTAACACAGCACCCTCATCAATTTGATATTAGTGACAGGAATAGTTCATATACAGATTTAGCTAGCCTCCAGGGGCTTGGTTTTATCAACCAAACCAGTTGTCCTCAGGTCGATTCTGACTCATGGAGATCTCATGTGTAGCAGAGCAGAACTGTGCTACATAAGGTTTTCAAAGGTGTGACCTTTCAAGAGCAGATCACCAGGCCTTTCTTCTGAGGTGCCTCTGGGTGTGTTTGAAACCCAATGTTTTGGTTAGTAGTCAAGAACTTATCTGTTTGTACCATCCAGGGACTCTTAATCCTGTTAAAGCAGCTCCAATTTCAGCATTGAGGAAGAGGGAAGGGCCCATTTTTTTGGAGTGTAGTGGGCAGTGGAAGAAGTTCAAAGAGGACCCACACATTCTGTTCCCCCTCATCAATTACTAGTCCCATGTGCTTTATGTTTGGGTTGACAGCACAGGATGATTCCATGTAAGTGTTCTTGATGGATTGTGACTAGGTTGAGCCAAGTCCTAGTCCCAGGGGCTTTCTAGGCAATAAAAACCCAAACCCATTGCCATTGAGTCTATTCTGATTCACAGCACCCCTGTAGGAGAGAGTAGAACTGCCCCCACCTCTGGTGGGTTTCTAAGGCTGTAAATCTTTACGGAAGCAAACTGCCATGCCTTTCTCTCGAGGAACAGCTGGTGGATTGGAACCACTGAACTTTAGTAGCCGCCCAGTGCTTTAGCCACTGCCCCACCAGGGCACCTTTTGTAGACAATGGAAAGTGCTAGAGCAACAGCCTGATTCTTGATCAAGATCTGATCTTTAGGTAGTGGCTTGCTTCTTGCTGACTCTTTTCACAGAATAAAATGCAGCCACATAAGGGATGATTCTGAAAATAGCCCATTTAGTATACAAACATACATGATACCTACAATTCTTTCTCTTTTTTTTTTTTAACCATCCCCAGCCATCTCCTCCCCTCCCTGCCTAGTAACCCCTCCTCCCATGCCACTCATAATTATGCATTCCTGTTTGTCCTGCATTTCCTCATGGAATGTTGCCCCTCTGATGCCCCATGGTTGATCTCGCTCCAGGGATGAATTTCCATAGAGTATGTTTTTGTGTGCCATCCTGGGTGGGGTGGTCTGCGTGGATTCTGAAAATAGCCCATTTAGGATATAAACAACAATGATTCTTTTTCCTTCTCAAGGGAACACTTTGATGGGATTTTCCTTTATTAGTATTATCTTTGAAGAAATGAAACAATATTTATCATTATTTGGAAGTATAGTCTGATTTTTGCTTTACTTTTGATTAATGTTATCACAAGTATTTGCCAAGAGTTACCTTGTGTAAAATACTGTGCTCAACAGATACTCGAAGAAGTATTAGTTAAGGATCCAGTCCTTTAAGAGAATGCAATATAGTTATAGAGATCAACCTTTAACAAGTGTTAAAATAATTGTACTCTAAGATGCCATATTAAAACAAACAAACAGAAAAAACAAATAAGCAGTTGCTTTCAGTCGAATGGATTCCATCTCATGATCTTGTCTGTGTCAAAATAGAACTCTGCTCCCAAGGTCTTCAATGGCTGTTTTATCATAAGTAGATCACCAGATCATTTTGCCAACTCATCTCTGGGTGGACTTAAACTTCCAACCTTCAGGTTAGCAGCTCAGCAAAACAACTTTTTGCTCCACCCAGGGACCCTAAAAGAGCTCTGGTAGCATAGTGCCTAAGGCATTTGGCTACTAACCAAAGGCTGGTGGTTCAAACCCACCAGCCACTCCTCAGAAGGAAGATTGGGCAATTGACTTCCATAGAGATACTGCCTCGGAAACCCAAGGACGGGTCGCTATGAGTCGGATCCGAGTCAACGGCACATAACAACAACAACAAGGTGCCATAGGATGTTATTGTTTTTGTTGTCTTATTCCATGAAGTCAATTCTGTCTCATGGTAACCCCATGTGTTACAGAGCAGAACTGCTTCTTAGGGTTTTCTTGGCTTAATCTTTAAGGAAGCAGTTTGCCAGGTCTTTTCTCTGGTCCCTCTGGGTGGGTTCAAATTGCCAATCTTCCAGTTGCCAGCCAAGGGCAAGCCTTTTGCATCATCTGGGACCTTTTGGTGCCATTTGAGCCCCAAAACCAAACCCCTCACCCTTGAGTTAATTCCAACTCATAATAACCCTATTGGAACAGAGTCAAACTGCCCTTGTAGGATTTCCAAGGTTGTAGTTTTTACAGGGGGAGCTCTGGTAACGTAGTGCTTAAGGTATTTGACTGCTAACCAGAGGGCTGGTGGTTTGAACCCACCAGCCACTCCTTGGAAGTAAGATGGGGCAATGTACTTCTGTAGTGATACGGCCTTGGAAACTCCAGGAGGGGTCGCTATGAGTTGGACCCGACTCAACGTCCCTGAGTTTGGTTTTGATTTTGTGAGTCTTTACAGAGCAGACTGCCATATTTTTCTCCTGTGGAACAGCTGGTGGTTTCCAACTGCCTACCTTTAGGTTAGGAGTCGAGTGCTTTAAACACTGCAGCAGGTGTCCTCTATAGTGTCATTTAGTGACTATAGTAATTACTAGGGAGCTCTGGTAGCAGCATAGTGCCTAAGGCACTTGACTGCTAACCAGAAGGCTGGTGGTTCAAACCCGCCAGCCACTCCTCGGAAGGAAGGTTGGGCAATCCTACTTCCGTAGTGATACTGCTTCAGAAACCCAAGGAGGGGTCGCTATGAGTCGGGGCCAACTCGATGGCAAATAACAACAACAACAAAGTAATTACTAAATAAGTGGCACAGGTGATAAGAACTCACTTCTGCCTTGGAGGGGAAGGGGTTGTCTCATTAACTGAGAGAAAAACACTGAGATAAGGGCAGGGATTATAATGTAGTCCCCTATTTGAGGAATTTATTATCTAGTAAGGAGTGACATATCTCTAAGGAAACAGGAATAATAAAACACTATGGACTTCATAGAACAGACACAATTTCCTTAAGGGATTGGAATTGGAAAAGGTAGGATTTCTACAGATTTACAGGGAAAGGAAGACATTCCAAGCTGAGGAGATGGTTGTGTTCCCTATAGGAGGAAGTTGGGAGCTCTGGTAGCGTAGTGCCTAAGGCACTTGACTGCTAACCAGAAGGCTGGCGGTTCAAACCCACCAGCCACTCCTCAGAAGGAAGATGGGGCAATCTACTCCCGTAGTGATACTGCCTCGGCAACCCAAGGAGGGGTTGCTATGAGTCGGGTCTGACTCAACGGCACATAACAACAACAACAACAACAAGGAGCTCTAATGGTGTAGTGGGTAATGCATTTGGCTGCTAACCAGAAGGTCGATGATTCAAACCCACCAGCCGCTCCACGAGAGGAGGATGAAGCAATGTACATCTGTAAAGATTTGCAGCCTTAGAAACCCAATGTGGATCACTATGAGTCAGGATCAATTTGAAGGGAGTTCATATAGGAGGAGGTAGATGAGGACAGGCTGTAAAGAAGTTTGAGCACCAGAATCAATTTGTATTTTATTCTGTAAACAATGGAATTCCATTAATTTTCTTTTTAAATAATGGGATGGCATAGGTAATATTCACTGCTGTGCCTCTGGGTTTTTCTAAAGGGTGACAGTTAATACCATGATGCATCTTCCAACTTCAGGAAAGATATGGGTAATCAAGAGGCAAACACACTTGAGCAGGGGACTTGGTTGTTATCCTGCTCCAAAGGAGGGAACTGGGAGACATAATCTTTTTTATTTGAAGCACCTTTGAAAGTTACTAGATAGTTCACATAGCATAGAATAGAATTTGTAAGAAAGATAAGAAGTGAATCATGCACGTATAAGACAGATTAAGTATCATTTAGAGAAATTGGGTTTAAAGTTTGGTGATAATATTGTCTAGGATCAAAACAACTCCAAATTGTTCGACTTTGAAGCATAATTCTACTTCAGTTTTCATAATAAATGAATCCCTGAAAAAGCATGTGTGAGATTATTTCTTACTGCAAATTGAATAGTTTCCAGTGCATCAGAATAGTTTATGTTTAAAACCACCCAATTATGATTTCCATGAGGCAAAAATAATTGTTTTGGCTGTTTTTTTTCTTAATTTATTGGTTGGATAAATCCATTTTTCCCCCACATATACTGTTTGATTCAATTAATGTATGATTGTCATGTAGAAACGTCTCCTGTTCTGTTTCAAAGCTGCACATTAACTGAAATCCTATGTCCTGTTACTTCTAGTCTCAAGTGGCCAGTGAAGCTGTTCGTGCTATTAAGAATACTAATAAAAATACCAAGTATACACATGGCAGTGGCTCAGAAACCTTATGTAAGTATTGTTTCTTAAGATCTTAGAGAACTGCAAGGTACTGAACAAATCTGTGTGTTCAGTTTTTCTGTATGGATTTGGTTTTTCTAAGTTGAATCTTTTTAATAAGGTCAAATGTAAAATGATGTGGGAGCTCTAGTGGCGTAGTGCCTAAGGCATCTGACTGCTAACCAGAAGGCTAGGGGTTCAAACCCACCTGCCCCTCCCTGGAAGGAAGGTTGGGCAATCTACTTTCATAGTGATATTGCCTCAGCAACCCAAAGAGGGGTTGCTATTAGTCAGACCTGACTCGACGGTAATGGGTTATGTAAAATGATTGGTTATAACCAATATATTAGAAACAGAAGCATAATAGCTAGGACAGTGCTGAAAGCAGCTATATTAGTAAATGAATACACACAAAAATTAAAAGATATTTAAAATATTGTGCTTACCTGTAAAGAGTAGAGATTATGGAATTGGCATCATGCATGCTGAGTGATGGAAGACTAAGGTGCACTTGACCCAAGCCACAGTATTTTCAATCATCTCATATGCATGTGAAAGCTGGACAATGGTAAGGAAGACCAAAGAAGAGTTGATGCTTTTGAGTTGCGGTGTTGTCAAACGATACTGAAAGTACCGTGGACTACCAGAAGAATCAACAAATCTCTCCTGGAGGAAGTGCAGTTGGAATGCTCCTTGGAAGTGAGAATGGCCAGACTTTGTCTCACCTACTTAGGTCATGTTATCAGAAGGGACCATTCCTTAGAGAAGGATATCATGCTTGGTAAAGTGGAGGGTCAGTGAAAAAGGGGAAGACCCTCAATGAAATGGATTGACATAGTGGCTGCAATGATGGGTTCAAGTATAGCAAGGACTGTGAGGATGAGCCTACTCGATGGCACTTAACAACAATATGCTGAGTGAAATACAAAAGCCCATAAATGTCTAAAAGAATGTGTAAGATGTCCAGGGCCATCTTTAAGGTTACACAGGTTGAACACTATACAAATCTAAACCCACTGTCATTGAGTCTATTCTAACTCATAGTGTCCCCTACTGGGTTTCCAAGGTTATAAATCTTTATGGAGATTGCCTCATCTTCTTTCTTCGGAGCACCTGGTGAGTTTGAACTGCTGACCTTCTAGTTAGCAGCCAAATGCCTTACCTACTATACCACCAGGGGGTCCCATTTATGTTAGATGCTTTTTAATGAGTATCTGTGCTCAAGAGTATTGCTCATAACACACTATATTTGAATGTCTGTTATGTATATCACATTGACAAGAACTAAGTATGTGCAAAACTCAACAAATGTTTTAAATTAATTTTTACTGGAAGATATTTGTTGAGAGTGTCCCTGCGTGATACAAATGGTTAAGCATTTGACTGCTAGCCAAAGGGTTGGCAGTTAAAACACACCCAGAGGCAAACTGGAAGTCAGACCTGGCGATCTGCTTCTGAAAAGTCACAACCCTGAAAACCTATGGAGCAGTTTTACTCTGCACACACGGTGTCACCATGAATCTGAATTGACTCAGTGGCAACCAACAACCATGCATCCTTAGCAGGATGACAGATTAAGCTTCTGTCCTTTTGGAGCTGGAGGGAAGATGAGACAAGGGGAGCAGAAAAGAAATATTTAATCAGGAATCGGCAGACTGTGGCTCATAGGCCAAATCCAAGCCCCTGTCTGATTTTGAAGCAGCTCTGGTGGTGCAGTGCCTAAGGCGTTTGACTGCTACCCAGGAGGTTGGTGGCTCAAACCCAACAGCCACTCCATGGAAGGAAGACTGGAAAGTAGGTTGCCCAACCTTCCTTCTGAGGAGTGGCTGGTGGATTTGAACCTCCAGCCTTCTGGTTAGCAGTCCAATGCCTTAGGCACTATGCCAGCAGAGCTCTGGGCAATCTATTAAGTTAAAGATTTACCAGAAAGCCAATGGGGGTCACTATGAGTTGGAATCGACTTGATGGCAGTGGGTTTGGATTGGGTTTTTGGAAGAGCTAAGAAGAGTTTTTACATTTTTAAATGATCAGGAAAAAAAAGGTCAAAAGAAGAATTGTATTTTGTGACATGAAAACTACATAATATTTAAATTTCATTGCAAATAAAAAGTTTTATTGGAACATGACTATACACGTTCATTTAGGTATTATCTCTGTCTACTTTTGTGCTACAACCAGAGAGTTTAGTAGATGTGACAGAGACAACATGGTTCAGAAAACCTAAAACATATGCCATCTGGCCCTTTACAGAAAAATTTTGCTGACTCCTGATGTAAATAAATACAATATAATTCTATTGGTAAGTGCTTTGAAGAAGATAGTGTGTTTGATGATCACTGCAGAAGAGATAGGCTATGTCGCTAAAGTGATCTTGGTAGGCCTATCTCTGTAGGGCATTCTGGGGAACCTATATAGTAAATGGTGTCAAATAAATGTGTGGAGCAAGATCAGTGTTAAATGACAGATTCTGGAGTTGAGTTATAAACATTTTCACAAATGTAAACAAAATTGCTAAAGTAAATAAAGTTGGAAATCAAGAGTTCAATTTGAGAAAGACAATCATCTCTTCTGAACCAAGCCAAACCAAACTCACTGCCATTGATTTAATTCCAACTCATAGAGACGCCAGTTGGGTTTCCAAGGCTGTAAATCCTTCTGGAAGCAGACTGCCTTATCTGTCTCCCATGGAGCTGCTGGTGGGTTTGAACAACTGACCTTTTGGTTAACAGCCAAGTGCCTTAAGCACTATACCACCAGAGTGCTTACAGACCCTCTGAGGAAGTTGGAAAAAAGGGATAGATTCTGGAAAGCTGTCATTTAAGTAAAGGTAGGTCATTTTGAATTTGGGGTAAGTTTGTAACAGGGCCTCTTGTCTTTCTGGTTTGTGATAGGTCCAAGGGTTCTTGGTTTTACTATGATGAATCTGAAGAGAACGTGAATTTGGAAAATACAGCTGATCCAGGTTTATAGGTGGAAGTACCAGGGGCTGGTCAAAACTGGTTATAGTATTTTCTGGTTGATATCAGGCAGAGGGAATGGCAAGTCGAAAGGCTTTGAGACAGTATATTCAAGGTCTCAGAGTATCCTTTGACAGGTAGGATCTACAAGGCTATATAAACAATCATACTTGTATTATTTTTAATAAATTGCTTAGGCACCAAATGTTCTATTAGTAGAAAATCCAGAATCTTCCTCTTGAGGTATCTTCCTTCTCTCCCCTACCTCCAGCCACCCCAGAAAACTGGGGCCTGATTGGGCTACATGGTATCTCTCTGTAACTTGGTGCCACTGGTTAATGTTGGTCCCCTGCTGCCTTTGCTGACCCAGATCCTCACCCTGTCACTGAGGAGCTACACAACTTCTTCACAGTTCAGAGCTTTCTTGGTTCTCATCCCCCTTCTCTACTACTATTCCCCGTAGCATAACCACATGCCTTAGGGGTGGAGGTGCTTATAGAAGCAACTCTTTTTATGATTAAATCAGCCCAACTCTACACATTTCATTCATTCAGCATGCATCTATGTGTATATGTGGATAAGCATAGGAAAATGCCAGGAAAAATATGTGCCAAATATTGATAATGATTATCTGAAATGTTTGCTGAATGAAATAGTGGATGAATAAATGATAAATGAATAAATGAATGAGTGAATAAATGAATGGATAATTTGTTCAGTCCACTGCTGATGGATATTTTTCAATATTAGAAACAATGCTTAAGTAAACATTCTTGTAATTAATCCAAGTCTAGCTATTAGAAAGACACATAAATTATCGTTATTTACAAATTATATAATTCCCTACATGTAAAACAAAAAAATCAACCAAAATATAAATAACGATGAAAAAGTTCAGAAAGGTGGATGACTATGAACTAAATATAAATAGATCAATAAATATCTCATATACTAATAATAATCCACTAAGGCATATATATATACATATAGATACATACCAAAACCAAAATGAAACTCACTGCCTTCCAGTCAGATCTGACTCATAGCAACCCCTCCTTGAGTTTCCAAGGCAGTATCACTACAGAAGTAGACTGTCCCGTCTTCCTTCCAAGGAGTGGCTGGTGGGTTTGAACCTACAGCCTTCTGGTTAGCAGTCAAATGTTTTAGGTGCTATGCTACCGGAGTGCCCATAGATACATACAAACACACATATATATGGACTCATTGCTAAATGAGTATGTGTGCACACACACATACACACACAATATATCCATAGACTCTAAATAAAAACCTACAAAATTTTTACTGGGGTACATAAAAGAATAAAATAAAAGAAACAGAGAAACCTATCATATTTTTAAGTAGAAGAGCAATATATAAAACATGTCAGTTCTTCTAAATTAATTTGTATATTTAATGTAATCTCAATGAACACTTAAGCAATTTTAAGCTCATTTGAAAGAAGAAATTTAGTAGAAAAGTTTGTAAAATTCTGAAAACTAAGAATAATGACAGAGAATTTGCCCCAACCAGGAAATAAAGCACATTATAAACATATAGTAATTAAGATAGTATGGAACTGATCCAGGAATAAAAAATCTATAGAAAGGAATAGTGAATACAGAAAGATACTTAAGGATATTGGGATATCTAACATGATAAAGAAGGCATTTCAAATTGTTAAGAATGTTAGATTGTTCAATTGGCGAGTTGGAAAACCTGATGAGCTACTTAAAAAGAAATTAATTGGATTACTAATTTATGTCTTTCTCCAAAACAAATTCTATGTCAAATATTTTCACATTAAAAAACTCTGTCATAACAAAATTGAAAGCTGTGTAATCAAATGAGAAAAAAAAATTCTCCACATATTGTTGTTGCTAGATGCTTTTGAGTCAGTTTCAGTTCATAGTGACCCTGAATGTACAACAGAATAAACACTGTCCAATTGTGTGCCATCCTAACAGTCATTGCTATGTTTGAGCCCATTGTTGCAGTTACTGTGTCAATCCATCTCATTCAGGGTCTTCCTCTTTTCCACTGACCCTCCGCTTTACCAAGCATGATGTCTTTCTCCAGAGACTGATCCCTCCTGATAACACGTCCAAAGTACATGTGACCACATCTTGTTTTCTTTGTTTTTAAGGAGTATTCTGGCTGTACTTTTCCCAAGACAGATTTGTTTGTTCTTCAGGCAATGGTATATTCAATATTCTTCAACAATACCATAATTCAAATGCATCAATTCTTCTTCAGTTTTCCTTGTTCATTGTCTAGCTTTCTCATGCATATGAGGTGATTGAAAATACCATGGCTTGGGCAAGGTACACCTTAGTTCTTAAAGTGACATCTTTGTTTTTAACACTTTAAAGAGGTCTTTTGCAGCAGATTTGCAGAATACAATATGTCATCTGATTTCTTGACTGCTGTTTCCATGGACACTGTAGATACAAGTCAAATGAAGATTTCAGGCTTGCAAACCCTACCACCCATCAGGAGCATTCAATCTGTCTCCATTTATTATGATGTTGCTTATTTGTCCAGCAGCAAGGGTTTTTGTTTTCTTTAAGTTGAGGTGTAATCCATATTGAAAGCTACAGCCTTTGATCTTCACCAGTAAATGATTCAAATCCTCTTCACTTTCAGCAGGCAAGATTGTGTCATCAGCAGGTTGTTAATGTTCTTCCAAGCCAAAAATATTCAACTCACTACTAATCACAGAAACAGAAAATAAGGCAATTTGAACTCATTAGTACACAAAGCTTGTCATGATGGAGTATATTTAGAAATGTTATAAAATGTTATAAAATACATAATGTGACCCCATTTATGTATGGTAAAAGATTAAGTATGTGAATACATGTACTAAAAAGTGAAGAAAAAAATACACTTACACAGTAACAGGGAGCTCTGGTAGCATAGTGGCTAAGGCACTTGACTGCTAACCAGAAGGCTGGCGGTTCAAACCCACCAGCACTCCTGGGAAGGAAGATGGGGCAATCTACTTCGGTAGTGATACTGCCTCGGAAACCCAAGGAGATGTCGCTATGAGTCGGGTCCGCCTCAATGGCACATAACAACAACAACAACAACAAAAAAAAACAGTAACGGTGATTATCATTCCTTAGAGGTCGCTGGGTGGCCCAGCCAGTTTGCAGTTACCTACCGATCATCTCAAGGTTGGCGGTTGGAACCACCCATCAGGACCATAGAGAAAAAGTCCTGGGGATCTGCTTCCTTAAAGATTTAGCCAAGAAAACGCCATAGAGCAGTTATACTCTGCAATGCATAGAGTTGCCATGCTTCTGAATTGACTCCACAGCAACACGTTCTCTGGCGGTGCTGTGGTTAAAGCAATGGGTTGCTAACTCTAAGGTGGGCAGACCTAACCTAATAGGCGCTCAGTGGGAGAAAGATGAGGTAGTCTGCACTTGTAAATATTTAGAGTCTTGGGAACTGTGAGAAAAATGTGGCAGTCTGCCTGAGTAAAGATTTCAGGCTTGCAAACCCTATGAAGCAGTTCTGCCCTATGATATAGGGTTGCTTTGAGTTGGAATCTACTCCAGCACAACGGGTTTGGTTTGCTAAGGTTATGAGTGATTTTTACTTTCTTCTTTTCCCTTTCTTCCCTTCAATGTCCATTTTCTACAAGTAACTGAGGTTACTTACAGAGAAAAGTAAAGGTATTGTCATTTTTAGGGAAAAAATTGTTAACTAATTTAAAATATGTTTTAAAAAGCAATTTCTTCTTGTAGACCTAGCTCCTGGAGGTTCGGATGACTGGATTCATGACCTGGGCATCAAATACTCGTTTACAATTGAACTTCGAGATACAGGCAGATATGGATTCTTGTTGCCTGAACGTTACATCAAACCAACTTGTGAAGAAGCTATCGCTGCTGTTTTGAAAATAGTCTGGCATGTCATCAAAAATGTTTAATCTCATTGAATTTATCACTTTGCTCCCCCATATTTTAATTTATTGATTCCAAAACCAAAAACTAAACTCACTGCCGTCAAGTCTGATCCAACTCATAGTCACCCCTCCTTGGGTTTCTGAGGCGGTATCACAGCAGGACCAAATAATTGTGCTTCTTTTTAAATTTTATCAAGAGTTTTGTCACAAAGTTTTCCTATTTCCTGATTTTGTCAAAGAACGAAATAAATGCTACCTTGAAATTAAGACAAGGATTCACATTTCTTTTCACTTTTTTATTCTTTTAAATTATTATTGTAAGGGGATGTTGTTGTTGTTGTTGTTATGTGCCATGGAGTCAGACCCGACTCACAGTGACCCCTCCTAGGGTTGCCAAGGCCGTATCACTACGGAAGTAGATTGCCCAACCTTCCTTCCCAGGAGTGGCTGGTGGGTTTGAACCGCCATCCTTCGGGTTAGCAGTCAAGTGCCTTAGGCACTATACTACCAGAGCTCCCATTGTAAGGGGATAGGTATTGGTTTATTTTTTTTCCCTTTGACTCACAATGTTCGACTAACCATTCAAACAATTAAAGAGCATGATACAGATCACCGATTAAAAGTTTAGGGACCCTAAGCAACAAAAGGAAAGATGGTCAGGAATGCAAGAAAGATTTCTGCTCCCAATTTTTGGTAAATTTCTGCTTGGGCCCCTAAAAATACAGCTGTGTGTTCCATTTGCACCATAAGAATAGGCGATGGCCTAGAAAGGAGAGAGATGTCCCAAAACAGGACAGACACCGACTTTGGTCCCGCTCAGGCGTTCAGTAAAAATTATTGAACGAATGAATGAATGGCTATATGTACTTACTTTCAACAAATGTGGCATTTTACGCACCAACAATAACCGTAGGTTATTTAAGAAATAATGTAACAAAGGAGGAAAATGCTTTCTCTTAATTTCATTGTTAATTGGGAATCAAAAAAAGTTCCGCACGACTCCCAGTTTCCTTTCTCAAAGTACCTCTCTAGGATTCCAAGTATCGCTAACATCTTAGTTCCTCAGAGTTGACGCGACGTACCAATAAAGGGGTGGTGCCTGCACGCTGACGACTAATCTGGTGGCCGGAAGTCGCCTCGTTTTACCGACGAACAGGGCACTCCCTTGACTTCCGGCGGCATTTTGAGTCGATCTTCCTAGCGGCCTGGTAGTCTTTTCGTTGCCGTTTATTACGCTCCATTTTCTTTTCATTCTTTTTTTTTTTTTTTCCTTCCCACGCCCCAGTCTCGCGTGACCCTGGCGTAGCAGCAATCGCTTTGTTTCTCAGTCTTCCCAGGGGCTATCACTAGCAGAGGACCGGTTCCCGGGAGCCGCGCGCGCACTTCCTTGTCGGTCTTCCTCCTCGGGCCAGGCCCAGTGACATAGGGTCGCCTTTCTTGCTTCTAGGAGCGTCGGCAGTGTTGGAGCCTTCGGACTGCGCTTGGGAGGAGAGCTCGGCGTAGAGGTAAGGGTTCTGTGAATTTATGTGGGTATTTGAGGGACCGCGTTGGTTGAACCCAGGCTGGGGAGGCCCGGATTTGCCCACCATCCTCGCTTGGATCACACCACGATTTTGAGCTGTCCTTGAGCATCCTTCCCTTAAGTCCCTGTTCTCTGGTCGTTTCTCTTCCTCTTTCTGAGTGTGACGAGTTTGTCTAGGGGATAGGTCGACTCAGGCAAAAGACTCTGATGTGTGCAAGCAACCCTTGAGCAGGATTAGCGTTTGTATGCAGTGGGAGGGTGCTGGAATAGATTTACATGTGTCCTCTTTCTGAATTCCAGACCTATAATCGATAAAGGGATCTTAACTTTTGTTTGTCTGGGGCCTTGTTTATTTCCTGGCAGTGATAACTTACCGATTTAGGGTTTGGCAGTTGAATGCTACTTCATCCTCACGTCCCCTTTAGCAACCATCTGTGAGAAACATGGTTAAATGGAGAAGTGGAATGAAAGGGAAGGACCTGATGTTTAGCATTGTCTCTTTACTAAATAGATTAGCATAATTTATATGGCTGGGAATTATCCGTAGTTGATGTTACTTACATAATATTTGTGGGCTCTTGTTGGTAGAACGTAGTGTCTTAAGCTTTTTGGCTATATTAAACGGTTCCGGATACTTTGAACTACTTTGAAAATGATGGGGAGTATCCAGTCTCTTAAGGTTTTTGCATTTTTAAAGAAGAAATTTAAAATGTTTGGAAAAGGCCTTCACACCCCAAGTTTTCAAAGTCCATGATACTGTTTCTGTAAATACAAATGCTCATGCGCTGCTATCGATGTGTATACGGTATCTGTTAGCATGGTGTAGTTCTATGATATTTGATGTTAATGGCTTTAGTATCCAAACAATAATATTTTGGACATCCATTGATTGTCAGATAATTTTCAAGTTCTTAATAAAATATTTAGATTGCAGTAAATGAGAGTTCAGAAAGAGACTAAGAAAATTGATGCACCTGTATATCAATTTGTGTCTTTAAAAATAGTACCAGGAAACCAAGGTTTTCACTGTGCCCATCTAGTAAGATATAGTTTTATCAAATATGTGCCTCTTTCTGGAATCCTGGTTATTGGTGATTCGAATCAAACGTACATTTTAGATTTGCAAACTTATCTTATTTTCACATCTATAATGATTAGAGCTGTGGTAGTGTAGTGCCTAAGGTACTTGACTGCTAACCAGAAGGCTGGCGGTTCAAACCCACCAGCCACTCCTCGGAAGGAAGGTTGGGCAATCTACTTCGTTAGTGATATGCCTCGGAAACCGAAGGAGGGGTCACTATGAGTCAAGTCCGACTCAATGGCACATTAACAACAACGTAAATTAAGCTATTAAAACCCAGCAAGTAGATGCTGTTTTAAGTTTTTCTAATACAAATTTATTAAAATTTAAATAATTAATCACTGTTCATTTATATTATAATATGAATTTTTATTTCCATATAGAAAGCAAAATTGGTTTTCAGTGGATGTTAGTCTTTCCTATCTTTCCCATGTTTCATATAGAGTTGGAGGCATGTTTGCAGATAGTTTGTAGCAGTTGAGGTAGCTGATACTGATACTTAAAAAGTCCTTTTTTTATTATTGTTTTGTATGTTGCAGTTCTGTTTACTTTCACTTCATAGTAGTTCCTATTATGGGATATTCTTTGTGTATACACAATCTTTTTAACAAGTTGCTTTTCTGCACAGTGCTACAGTATTGCCTTACTCACACATGTGTTCTCAGGTTTGTTGTGTCACATTCTGTTGCAAGATCATCTTGGAATTGATTTACTTAACTGCTAACCAGAAGACTGGCGGTTCAAACCCACCAGCCACTCCTCGGAGGGAAGATGGGGCAATCTACTTCCGTGCTGATAACTACCTTGGAAAACCAAGGAGGGGTCACTATGAGTTGGGTCCAACTCCACGATACATAACAACAACAACATAGATAAGCAATCTAGCAGGTGGTTTTAGAAAATTTCTTTTTAATAAATTCTTCAAAACTGTGCATCAAATAAACTTAGCTGTTTTTTCTTTTAAAAATATGAAATATAGGTGTTTGGAGAATTTAAATAATATATAACCCTTTTAATCTTAGAAATTCAACGGGTAGGGATTTATTTGACTAATTCTTCAAAACTATGCATCAAATAAACTTAGTTGTTTTCTCTTTAAAAATATGAAATATAGGTGTTTGGAGAATTTAAAAAAATATATAACCCTTTTAATCTTAGAAATTCAACGGGTAGGGATTTATTTTACTAGTTAATACGTAATTTTAATGGCTTATTTGACAATTTCCTAATATTATGCTACTACTATATAAGGGAGCTCTGGTAGCATAGTGGCTAAGGCACTTGATTGCTAACCAGAAGGCTGGCGGTTCAAACCCACCGGCCACTCCTCAGAAGGAAGATGCGGCAATCTACTTCCATAGTGATACTGCCTCGGAAACCCAAGGAGGGGTCGCTATGAGTCGGGTCCGACTCTATGGCACATAACAACAACAACAACTGTATAAGATAAGTGATGATTGCAGTGTAGTAAATTACTTAGTATGGCTTTTCTACCCATAAGTCATTGTAAACTCAGTGGTGGAATGAGCAACTGAGGAGCTCCTGATTGTAAATGTTGTCCACCTGGGTTATTTCTGTTGGGTGTGGCACAACGCAATGTTATTGGAGGCTTAGAGTTCTGATGCTATGATTGGCTAGTTTGGCTGCTCTGCCAAGCTCAAAAGGAGGCCTCCTAGAGACAGAACTCTCTCTGACTGCTGGTTGAGGAAGGCGTGCTGCTGAAAGAGACACACATACTACTGAAAGAGACACGTGCTGCTGGGAAAGAGGCACAAGAGACACATGTTGCTGAGTAAGACACTGAGGGACATGCACTGCTGGGGGAGAGACTGTGAGAGACTTGGCTGAGAGACGGTGGGCTGGGAGAAAGACTGAGCGTTCTTCCTGAACTTGAATTGTAGCCGGGTGCTTCCCTTATGAATCGCATAATCTGGGAGTTCTGTGTGCCACTGCAGTGAATTATCGAACCCAGGAGAGAGGTGGTGGGTGCTTTGGGAGGAACGGTTGGAGAAAGGGCTGGAGGGAGGCAGCATGTCTGGCCTGGCAGGAATAGGCCTTGGGCTATTGATGGTGATTCTGTCTTCCTCTTGTGGGATTAGAGGAGGTCAGAACGAGGTCAGAACATGTGGCCTCCTTGCCCTTTTTGCAGTGATCATCCAGATACAGTAGGTTATGCATTCATTTATGCTACAGGAAGATGAGACCTCAGATAAATCAAGAAGATACCAGAACTGATAGATGTTTTAACAAACATCTTAGTCATTAGGCTTGAGGACTAATTAATTATTCAAAAAAAAAGAACCCAAGCCCTGTAATTTTCTCCTTTTTCAGCTGTATTTATAGTGTGCGGTGTTCACTGCATTATAATTTTCCATTTTTTATGACCCCCTTTTGCTGTACTTTTAATAAATTCATGCTTTATGTCTCTGCTTTTTTAAGTTGAAGGAGATAACAAAAACTTCAGATATACATGTATTCACCAAGTAAAAGTAGAAAGAAATGACTAAATAGAGTTTCACCATTGTTAGTTACTCTGGCTTTAATAATATTAGTGTTTGGGGAAAAAAATGATGTGACTGGAAGTGTGATAGTAACGGCAACTTAAACCAAACAACAGAGGAGAACAATTAAATTGAAAACAAAAATGGAGAGAAGACCGTCAAAGAAGAGTTAACTAAATTTGTAAATTTTGGTGTAATCTCGATTTGGAATCTCTGAATTGGAAAACTTAAGCATTTATATTTTTATAAATTTATTTTATTTTTAGCATTTATATTATTTTGTTTTATTGTCCCTAACTTTTTCTGTATACTTTGACACATGTACTTACTGAAGCTTATTCAGATATTAATTAAAAACAATTTTTTTCCTTAGTCAAATCTACCTTTTATTCTGTTGTGATGTTTATCTTCCTTTGTGAATCTAAATTTTTAAATAGGATTTAAAGTTCTAATTTAGTCACATTAGGTGGCAACATAGTTTTTAAAAAATTCATGTATATAAGAGGGTTTTTTTTTTGGGTATATTGTAGATTGTGTGTGTTTTTAAATAGGATTTTTAAAAAGTTGTATATCGTGTTCTTTACAAGCAAAAAACTGTTTATACAAAATCATGAATGTTACGTTTCAGTGATAGTATTTTAGGTAACTTTTTATTGTTGAATTGTCAACAGGGATGGAGTGTCCTAGTGATCAGAACTCCTCTGGTTCATCTTTGTTTTAGTTAGAAAATATCAATTTCTCCTTTTTATCACTTTGCTTCAGATTCTTTCTTTTTTTTTCCCCCCTCTTCTCTCTCTAGGACCTCTCTGTAACCTAGACCTGGTACCCCGATGCAGTGCCATTTCAGGACAAGGTCCGACACTACTGGACTCAGCAAAAAGGACAGTACATCTTTACTTCATTGCAGTTCTTCTCTAACTTGGAAGACTCAATAGTAGCTGGAAATAAAATTCCTGGGATAATCAACTATGTAGGTGAATCTTGAGTAGTTCTTGATATAACCTGTGAAAGCAACTTTGTTTCTTGTGGGAAGCAACTTTCTTGATGGCAAGGGGAGGTGTAGGTTTGGATCATTAGTCCTCACTTGATTGTATTTAGGAGTTCTGGTGTCTGTAGTGCCTATGGCATTTGACTGCTAACCAGAAAGCTGGTGGTTCAAACCTACTAGCCACTTCTCGGAGGGAAGGTTGGGCAATGTGCTTCTGTAGTGATACCACCTTGGAAACCCAAGTAGGGGGCGCTGTGAGTCAGATCTGACTTGGTGGCAGTGAGTTTGGGTTTTTTTTTTTTGTTTTTGGTTTGATTGTATTTAACATAGCAGTCAAACCCTTTGAAATCTTCAAAGATTGTATTAGGAATCTACGATTGGAGGAAGACTCAGACACCATGCTTTCCAGCAGTAAGTCTGTAGAAAAGAGGAGCACTGATCCATGCGGCAAGTGATGGAACAAAAAGAAAAGCAGTGGAGTGAATACTTGGGGCCCTCAGAAAACCAAGCAAGAAGATAATGGATGACCAGTGTTTTCAGTACAATAATAAATCTATTGTTCCAACTGTAGAAACCATCATCATTAATTTTTTTGGAGATTCATTTGTTGAGAGTGAAGGTGGGTAGGAGTAAGGCTGTAGGGAGACAGAACTAACTCATTTCCTTTGTAGTGGAAGGAAAAATGTAAAGTTAGGGATAGTCTCCTTTAGGCAGTGTGGTAGATAGTGTCCCTGTTTTCTAAGTTGTAGATAACTAGCTAATAAGAAACTTTTGAAACTCATTCAATTTTAACTTTATTTATAAATGTTTTTAGAACTGAATTAATGGGTAAGGATTACAGTATATATCCAAATACTAAAATTTGTGGTTACTTAAAATGGAGCTTTAAATATTAGGTTTTCTAACTATTATTAGGCAACTTGTGACACATTCATTTCTTCTTGAATCCTGCTCAAATATAAATGATAGAAGAATGTTTTTCTCAGTTAACCAAAGTTCTACATTTTCTAGAAGATCTTTTTCTCAGTTCATCTCTTGGCTTTCAGGTCTTTATGTTCAATAAATAAATGGGCTTATGACATTTTACCAGCTCTTCTGTAATAAGTATACATGTGGGGTGAGAATGATGTGCAGAAATGTTAAATCAAAGGTTATTTTATAATACTAATTTCAGTATGTAGGGTAGGCTGTATAGCTCCTTACTTGGAGAACAGTTGATACATAAGTGATTTTATGTTAAGCAACTGTTCATTTATGTTACACTCTATACTAAGTGCAGTGCTGAAGGCATTTACTGCTAACCAGCCACTCCACGAGAGGAAGATGAGTCAGTCTACTTCTGTAAAGATTTACTACTTGCTGCCTTGGAAACCCAGTGTGGGTCTCTGTGAGTCAGAATTGACTTGATGGCAGTGGGTTTGGTAATTACTTTAATGTTATTTTCTAACTTCTTTGAATTCTAAAAATTAATTACTATTGCATTAAAACGATGATTACATTTTAAGGAATAAAAAGAATATAAATTGTGCTGGCTTAAAACTGCCATATTACATCATTTTCCCCCCTCTTTTTGATGTATCATTTTGTTCATTTGTCAAATGTATCTGTATTCTTGGATCATTTAAAAATGTAACCTAAAAAGAAATATATGCATTGTTTATATATTTTTTTAAAAATTTTGATCTATAAACTGATTTGTAAGTGGCATATCTTGAAGTCAAATAGAAGAACATTTGTGATCTTTATAGAGAGCATTCTACATGAAATGGAGCTTTTACTTCCTTAACTGCCATGGTTCATTGTACTAACTTTTGACTACAACTAAGGCTTTAACTATTATTTTAGATTATATATAGTGTTACACAGTTGGGTATTTTTTCTTTACCTTAGTCAATTTCTGCCTACATCCCATTGTAGTGTACTCTCTAGGTTTATTTTGATCTGTGGCAATCTTGTTTTTTGATACACAATTGTCCTTTGGTATCTACACAGAGGGTTTGTTCAGGACCTTATGGGTACCAAAATCTGCAGATGCTCAAGTCCCTTATATAAAATGACCTAATGTTTGCATATAACTTAGGTATATCCTCCTGTATACTTTAAATCATCTCTAGATTACTTATAATATTAATACAGTATAAGTGCTATGTAAATAGTATTTTATGTTCCTTCTTAGCCTTTGACGGATTGCTTTGGCCACTTAATTGCTCCTTCACTCCTCCACCGCCCCGTATTTTTGATCCATGGTGAATGCAGAACCCTCAGATACAGAAGACAGACTGTGTTTTACTTCCCACTGAAAAAGAAACCCACTGCCATCAAGTTGATTCTGACTCATAACGACCCCCATTGGGTTTCGAAGCCTTTACGGAATTAGATTGCCCCCATCTTTCTGTGGAGTGACTGGTGGTTTTGAACCACCAACCTTCTAGTTAGCAGTCAAATGCCTAGGGTACTACACTACCAGAGCTACTTGTATTTTACTTACTCTTTAGATATTTATACTGATTTTCTTGTCATTATTTTGCTAAAGTAGACTGCTTCTTAGCATCTTTGATTTTTTATCAGTGTAGTACAGACTACAGAAACACCTTGACATTTTCTAGTGTACAGTCTGATTCTGAAAGGAAGTAATTTTATTAATATCGAGAATGATTTTTTTCTCTATTACTGGAAAATAAATATCCTTGATTAAATAGCATTTCTTTGACTTCTGTAAGATAAAGAAAATATTTAAATAGCATTCATTTTCTCCGAAGTTGAGTTTTGGACATAACTAATGTTACTTAAACTCTGTAGGTCATCCTTTCTACAGTCAGAATAATCCCACCTGATTTTATTTTCCCCCTTTTTAAATGTTTTGACATACACACTTTTGTAGTTAATTGGTTTGTGGAGATTGGTAGCGTAACTTTTCCTTAAGGATCCTAAAACCAGTGCTAAACCCACTGCCCTTTAGTTGATTCCAACTCATAGTGACCCTATGGGACAGAGTAGAACCTGCCTTATTGGGTTTCCTAGGCTGAAATATTTATGGAAGTAGACCGTCATATCTTTCTTCTGCTGAATGGCTCATGGTTTGGCATTACCAAGCTTTTGGTTAGCGGCCTAGTGCTTTAATCACTGCCCCCAGGATTCCTTACTAAGGATTGTTGTTGTTGTTGTTGTTATGTGCCGTCTAGTCGGCCCCGACTCATAGCGACCCCTCCTTGGGTTTCCGAGGCAGTATCACTACGGAAGTAGGATTGCCCAACCTTCCTTCCGAGGAGTGGCTGGTGGGTTTGAACCGCCAGCCTTCTGGTTAGCAGTCAAGTGCTTTAGCCACTATGCTACCAGAGCTCCTTTACTAAGGATAGAGTTAATAAATTGTAGAAGCAACTTTGCTAAATTATTTCTGAACTATGTGTTTTATAGTGTGTTTTCTGAGGTTGAATGTATTATGAAAACTTTACTATGTAAGTAAAATCTTACTCATTCGCTCTGCAGAAAAGGTAAAATTTTAGCCAACAGATTTCAAAAGTGTTATAAATTCACTAAAAGCATACTGTAAAATAAGACTTCTATTTATGACATCTCCTTTGTCTTTTAACTTTATAGTATAATTTATTGTAAGTTACAGGCTCAGTTATTCAAAACTGAAGAATTTTACAATTTTACCTTTCTCTGTTTTTGTTAAAGCACTTCAAAATGTCAAAAATTAGAAGGAAAGTCACAGTGGAAAATACCAAGACCATATCTGATAGTACATCCCGAAGACCCAGTGTATTTGAAAGGCTTGGACCCAGCACTGGTAGTACAGCAGAGGTGAGTTGTTGCTAGTACAGCCACAGGAGTTCGCTTGGAGATTGATCTTTGAAATACTGATTTGTGTCATGAAAGGGGACAAGTTGCTTTTATTGCATAATTATTCATCAGAAAATTAAAAATATGTATATATTTTTACAAAGGAGTGAAAGGGTTTATGGGGTTTTATTTTCTTCCGATGGTTTGTTTTGTAATGTATTGTGGTTTAGCTGGAATTTTAGTAGCATATTTTACTTTTGTCCCACTAGTTTTTTTTTCCCTCAGAAATACGAAATTTACATAGTAATATCTGTCTCTTAGACACAGTGTCGTAATTGGCTGAAGACTGGCAACTGCCTCTATGGAAACACATGCAGATTTGTACATGGTCCTTCACCCCGTGGTAAAGGCTATAGCAGCAATTATAGAAGGTAAATTGAGAACTTTGATTTTGAGTTGTTCACATATGATCACTTTTGTAATTTACCTAGTATAAAAATATACAAATATGCAGCCATATATTTTATCAGATTTTCTACTTTGGTGGTTAATCTTATTAATAATTTAAGATGGGCAAGATCTTTTTAGTTATTAATTTCAAATTTAATAAAATGCTTGCTTTATAATCAACTTATTTGCCCACTATTTACTTGTGTTGATGATAGATTTTTTTAGAATATGTATGGCTTTTTCTTTTTATAATAATGTATTAAATTGCTGCTTAAGATGGCAGAATTCCATGGCACCAGTAGCATCATTAGAACTGAATTTATTTTTAGTGAGGAGAGACTACTTTAAAATCTTAATATGTTAACATTTAAATAGAGTATAATTTTGGCTTTTTAAGATGTTCTAAATTCAAATCGTAGTGACAAGGAAGATCTAACACAAACTCCATAGGCTAAAATGCATTTGTCAGATACCTTATCCCATGTGTAAAGTAGATGAAATATGTATTTTTATATGATTAATGTATCACCTATTTAGAACATCATTTTGCCTAGAATAAAGGCTGTGTAAATTAAACATTGAAGACCTTTTCTTTCTTTCATTTCCCTTATTATGATTTAGTTATGGTGTAATACTCAAGGCAGACATTTTTTACTTGTTAAGCTAAACTGTTTGGTTTTAAGAAGACATCAGGAGATAATTTTTAAGATCTCAGGGCAGTAGTTTTAGTTCATCCAACTGTAATGGCTTCAGGAAGTCTGGAGACCATGAGAATTTGAAGTTTTTTTCCATATTTCTCCCTTTTTGATCATGATTCTTCTATAGAATCTTTGGTCAAAATGTTTGGTGATGGTAACTGGGTACCGTCGCCTTTTGGTTTCATAGCAAAGGAGGAAGTTGTGGAGGCAACACGTTTCATATCCTCCTCCTGTTCCTGATATCCCTTCTTTTTTTTTTTTAATTGTGATTTGGGTGAAGATTTATAAAGCAAATTCACTTTCCGTACAGCAGTTCCCATATACTTTGTCTCATGACATTGACCACAGTTTACCACAATGCAACAGCTCCCCTCCCACTTCCTCCCCATAATTACCTCTTCCCCGTGCCCATCCCACCATGGACTCCTGCCCCCTTAGCTGTCTCCCTGTACATAAGCAGCCCTTCTTTCTCCCATGATTGTTCTCTTCAAGGAGAGTATCTACTTGAGGTAAATCTTCAACTCATATGCTTGCCTTTTGTTTGGCTGGAAACTGCAGGTGTGAGTTCAATTCCAGACTTGAAGGGCATTTAGGAGCCATAGTCGCAGTGGTTCCACCCAGGTTCTATCAGACTGCAAACCTGGTCCCCCCCCCCTTTTTTTTCCAAATGATTTTGAGTTTTGTTCCACATTGTTCTCCCTCTCTATCAAGGATCTCCTACATAGATCCCCTTCCAAGTGGATGACAGTGGTAGCCGGGCACCATGTAGTTCTTCTCGTCTCATAGTCGCTAATACCCCTTCTTGCTGTCTTGCTTCAGATGAATAGAGACTAATTGTTGTGCCTTGGATGGCTGTTTGCAAGGTTTTAAGATCCAAGCACTATGCAGTGAACTGGATGGCAGAATAGAAGCACTAAACGTGTAGTTAGGCCAATTAACTGGGATGTCCCATGAAACCATGACCCTAAACTTCTAAACCAAGAAACCTAATCCCATGAGCAGTCTCAGCAACTACTCTTATTTTGTCATTGTTGTAAATTCATCTGTCATACAACTTTTGGCAATTCAACTTTTTATAGTTGTAAACATCAATTAAAATAAGCAACTTTGCAGCCATACCTTTAATCATTGTGATATTACCATCACTGTTAACCCCCTTTTGCCTCTCTCTCCCATCCCTGGTAACCACTGATGAACTTTGTTCTCTTTGCATTTGCTGTTTCTTTTCTCTTTATATAACTGAGGTCATGGAATATTTTTCCTTTTGTGGTTGACTTATTTGACTCAGCATAATGTCTCCAATGGGAGCTCTGGTAGCATAGTGGCTAAGGCACTTGACTGCTAACCAGAAGGCTGGCGGTTCAAACCTACCAGCCACTCCTCGGAAGGAAGGTTGGGCAATCTACTTCCATAGTGATAGTGCCTCGGAAACCCAAGGAGGGGTCTCTATGAGTCGGGTCCGACTCCATGGCACATAACAACAACAACAACATCTCTAAGTTCTGTCTGTATTGTAGCATATATTAAGACTTTATTTTTCCTACTGGCTGAGGAGTGTTTTTACCTTTTGGCAGTTGTCAGTAGGGCTGCACTGAACGTCAGTGTACAAGTCTATTTGAATCTCTGATTTAAAGTCTTTTGAGTATATATCTAGGAGTTGAATGGCTAGGTCATATGGTAGTTCAATTTTTAGTTTCCTAAGGAACCACTACACTGTTTTCCATAATGGCTGTACCATTTTGCATTCCTACCAGCAATGGATAAGGGTTCCATTTTCCCCATATCCTTTCCAACACTTATTTCTGTTTTTTTTTTTTTTATTTTTATCTTCTTGTTGTTATATGCCGTCAAGTCAGCCTCAACTCATAGCAACCCCTCCTTGGGTTGCCAAGGCTGTATCGCTACGGAAGTAGATTGCCCATCCTTCCTTCCGAGGAGTGGCTGGTGGGTGTGAACCGCCAGCCTGCCAGTCTTCCGGTTAGCAGTCAAGTGCCTTAGGCACTATGCTACCAGAGCCTTAGCCATCCTAAAAACCAACTGCCATCGAGTTGATTCCTACCCATAATAACTCTATAGGACAAAGTAGAACTTTCACAGAGGGTTTCCAAGGCTATAAATATTTATGAAGGCAAACTGCCTCATCTTTCTTCCACGGAGCAGCTGGTGGGTTCAAATCACTGACCTTTTGGTTAACAGCTCAGTGTTTTAACCACAGTGCCATGAAAGCTTCTTAGTCATCCTAGTGGATGTGTAATGGTATCTCATTGTGGTTTTGATTTGCCTCTGTCTGATGGCTAATGATGCTGAGCTTCCTTTCATGTGTCTGGTGGTCATTTGTATGTCCTATTTGGTGAAATGTCTGTTCATATTCTTTGTCTGTTTTATGATTGGGTTATTTGTCGTCTTTGTTGTTGTTATATTGTTAAGTTTTGTGTGTGTATGTATGTGTATAAGTATATATATATATGTATGTGTGTGTGTGTGTGTATATATGTGTGTGTGTGTGTGTGTGTATATATATATAGTTAAATTCTTGTCAGATATATGGTTTCTGAAAATATTCTCCCAGTCAGTAGCTTGTCTTTCTACTTTTTGGTAAAGTCTTTTGATGAAAAAAATTTTTCATTTTTATAAGGTACCATTTATTTAGTTTGTCTTTGCCGCTGTACTTTTGTTTTTATATTGTAATCGATTGTTGAAAGCTAGGCCCCACAGTGTTGCCCCTACTTGTTCTTCTAAGAATTTTATGGTTTTACTTTGAACATTTAGGTCCTTAATCCATTTAGAATTTATTTTTGTGGGAAGCGTGGGTTCTGTTTCACTTTTCTGAAGGTAGAATTCCAGTTTCCCCAGCATAATTTATTGAAGAGATTCTTCTTTCCCTGTTGAATGGATTTAACACACTTGTGAAAAATCAGTTGACCATAGATGTAGGTATAGGGTTTATTTCTGGACTCTCAGTTTATTTCATTGATCTTTTTGTCTATTGTTATACCAGTACCAAGATGTTTTGATTACTCTAGCTGTATAGTATGTTGTAAAATTAGTAAGTGTGAGTTCTCCTACGTTGTTCCTCATTTTCCACATTGGTGTAGTTAATTAGGAGCTCTTACCATTTCATATAAAGTTGAGGATTATTTTTTCTCTAGGGATGTTCTTTAAAGGCATTTTGTTTTCCACCCCTTCTTTGTTTGTTCCACTTAATGATATGAAAATAAACTAATTAAACAGCCATATGCTGTATAATTCCCAGTATAAATTATGAAACTTTACCATTGTTACTCATAGCAGTCCTGTAGGACAGAACAGAGTTGCCTCAGGGTTTCCAAGGATACAGTCTTTACTGAAGCCGACTGCCACATCTTTCTCCTGTGAAGCAGCTGGTGGGTTCAAATTGTTGACCTTGTGGTTGGCAGATAAGCTCTTAACCACTTCCTCACCAGGGCTTCTTCTAATAAACATGAAAATAAACTAATTGAATTGCCACGTACTATATAATTCCCAGTATAAATTGTGAAATGTTACCTTTTTTAATATAAATGCATGTTTTCCAGCAGTTTAAAAAATTGCCCAGAATATAATTGTTCTAAAATCTTGATTTGAATTCCTAAACTGTTTTTTATTCTGAAATAACTTCAAATTTAAGAAAAAACTTGATGAGTACAAAAAAAATCTTATGTTTGCTTTGATACGTAAGATGTCTGAAATATTTTCTCAGTAGTTGATGTGTCCAGCCACATATATGTGTAGATTATAATGTTGGAATTCTTAGATGTATCTTCCTATCTTTTACTTGTAAATACAGCTAATATATCTGATTAATAAGAAAATGTATCAAGCTGTTAATTATAGACCTTTCTCTCAATTGAGATATAATTTATTATTCATATCACCAGTACCTGCCACCTTGTGGAATTTTATATGTATGCATTTTGATTGATAATGTAGAGAAAACTTAGTAAGTATTGCTTAGATATTTTCTATATTAATAATTAAGCTGAAAGAAATTATTTTTCTGAACTTAAAAGAGAGCCATGGACAGTTACAAAAAATGTATTGAAATTAATGAGATTGTTTCTGTAAATATCTTCCTATAAAATATTACATGAATGTAGATTTTTGTTGTTTTATTTTGTTTTTGATTTTTGGTTCAAAGATCACCAGAAAGACCTACAGGCGATCTTAGAGAAAGAATGAAGAACAAGCGCCAAGATGTGGACACTGACTCCCAGAAGCGAAATACAGAGGAGTCATCGTCACCTGTTAGGGTAGGAATGCATTTCCCCAAAGTTAAATTCAGTAGTGCTTTATTATTTATGTTACATTTTAAAGATTACTTTGTATGCTGAATATACGATATATATGCAATATGGCATTATAGTCCATGTGGTTAATGTAATATAGGAGAAAAATTTTTCTGGAAAAACTCATAATTCTCTAAATTATACTATATACTATACTATTCTTTTTATGAGACACTATTCAGAAGTGAGTCTGTTTGGGACTCACCATACCTTGGTATGACCTCATTAACATAACAAAAGAAACACACTGTTTTCAAGCATGGTCATACAGGAATTAGGGCTTCCATATTTCTTTGTGGCGAACACAATTCAGTCTGTAACAAAACCTTTAAAATATGTTTTACTGTCTGGTAGGTCTAAAACCCTCTCCCTCCTGTTCCTTTTGTGTTTTTTTCTGACTATTCTTGGCTTTTTTTTTTTCCTTGCCTAATGAATATTATAATTACCATGTCTAACTCCAGAATAAAACCTGATGGTGATTTTCAAGTTAAGAAGAATTGACCGCTTTATGCTGATGTCTTTCTGGTATGCATACTAACATGGTATGCATTTTCATTTGTTCAAGTCTGTTGTTGTATCATTTAACGCTTTTCATTTTTTCAGCTTAAGAAAGTATCCATCAGTTCCTAATTTAATTTTTTATGAATTAGGTAATTGAATTTTGACAATTTAACTTTTTCTTTATGTATGTGGTTGTTGTATTAGTTTTTCTCTTAGCTATATTAGTATGAGGGAGTTCTGGTAGCATAGTGCTTAAGGCACTTGACTGCTAACCAGAAGGCTGATGGTTCAAACCAACCAGCCACTCCTCGGAAGGAAGGTTGGGCAATCTACTTCTGTAGCGGTACTGCCTCGGAAACCCAAGGAGGGTCGTTATGAGTCAGGTCTGACTCGACAGCACATAACAACAACAGGAACAACAATATTAATATGATAGGTTATCTTAATGGATTTCCTAAAACCAAACCACCATCTGTTGTTTGCATTCCTAGACTAAACCGCCTTGCTCACAATATTTGATTTTTTTTTTTTCTTTTTGGTAAAAATGTATGCACCAAAACATATACTACTTCAACAATTTTTAAAAAAATTTTTATTGTGATTTGGGTGAAAGTTTACAGAGTAAATTCATTTTCCATACAGCAGTTCATACACATTTTGTCTCATGACATTGACAGCAATTGCCCACAATGTAGCAGCTTTCTTCCCACTTCCTCCCTGTAGTTATCTCTTCCCCATGCTCTTCCCTCACATGCACTCCCACCCCATGCACCATGTCCCTGTGCAAACACTTCCCTTCTGTTCTCCGACGATTTATCGCTTTAAGGAGTCTTATCTACCTCATGTAAATAGTCACTCCATATGCCTGTCTTTTGTTTGGCTGGGAGCCACAGGAATGTTTTAATTCCAGACTTGTAGGGTCGCTAGAGGCCATGGTCTGAGGGGTCTTACTAGGCTCTATCAGATAGGCATACCTGGTCTTTTTATTTATGATTTTGAGTCTCACCTCAAAAATTTCTACATGTAGGTTGCTAAAATGGCGTCTCTCCTGTAGCATACACACTAGTTCCTTCTAGCATCTTAGTACTGGAAAATCTAGGTGCAGCAGTTTGAAATGGGGATTCTGTTGCTCTGAACAGCTCATTAAATCAGAGTACACCGAACTCGGGGGAGTAGGATTAGAAAGGAGAAACAGGCAGTGCAGTTCTATGGAGGGGAAAAAAAAAGGTGAATCTACTCTGCGGAGCGCTGACTGGCAGGCGAGAAAGGGCATCGGCGGGCTCCCTGGGACAGTGGAGAGAATGCACTGCACCAGAGAACCTGCAGCCACTCCATGGATCTACCTTCAGCATCTGCTTTTATCAGTAAACTTGGAACTGCTGAGATGAAGCACAGACCCCTCTGGCTCTGGGTGCTGCTGAAGTGGGAACAGAGAGAGTAAAGCCACAAGTGGGCAGGCTCTGGGATGAACTCCCTTTGCCGATTGGTGTACTTATCGTTGGTCAGCATTTTGGCATGGGGGTGCCTGGAGAGTGGGGTTTTTGTGGCTGTCTGAACCTGGTGGAAAGTGGTGGCCTCCTAAGAATGGGAGTCTTTTCTGAACTTGAGCTGCGGGCCTGTCAGTAACAGTATAACATCATCATTAGCAGCTCATTTAAAGCCCTAGAAATGGCTCCTGGCACCTTGGGGTTTTTTTTTCCTTTTTTTTCCCTCTCTGTTCTTCTCCTTTCTCCATCTCTCCCCTACCTCATCCAGTAGAAAAACCACATGAAGCCACCATAACACCTGCCAGCTCAAATCCTAAACTTTCATTATGACAGAGACTTGCTTCCACATTCCACACAGTGATTCCATCATCAGAAAACAGCAGAGCAACCCAGCACACCTGAATTAATAGCCAAAAAATAAAGTACACCAGTTCCACCTTTTCAAAATATTACACATAAAACCAAGACAAAACAAATCAATACATAGCTAACAGTTAAAGACAACTTCAAAATGTCTAGGAAACAGCAGGCAACCTCAAATCAAACACCAGCAACAATTAAAAAAAAAAAAACAACAGGATAAGACAATAAATGTAAAATCCCAATAAATAAATAAATAAATTAATTAATTAATAAGTCCCATTACACATAGAGGAAGAGGAGGCAATAGAATGATCCAAGAAAGAATTTAGAAGGTATGTTTATAGAACTCTACAAGAGCTTAAGGAAACCCCAAACAGAAGCAAGGAGAACACAGACAGTACCCTGGAAGAACTTAGGAAATCCATTCAAGAACAAAATAACAAGATTAATATACAATCAGAACTCATACAAGAACAGCAGGTAGAAATCCAGAAGATGAATATCAAAATTACAGAATTGTACAATACAGTGGAAGCACAAAAGAATAGGCTAGAACTGGCTGAAGAACGCATTTCCCAACTACAAGACAAATCCCTTGACACCATCCTGTATGAAGAAAAATAAGGACAAAGGTTTAAGAGAAATGAAGGAAACCTAAGATTTATATGGGATGACAAGAAAACAAACAACGTACGCCTCACTGGAATTCCAGAACAGAGAGAGGCAAAAAAAAAAAAAAAAAAAAAAAACCACTGAGAAAATTGTGGAGGACCTACTAACAGAAAACTTCTTCCATATTCTGAAGGAAGAAAGGATATTTGCCCAGGAAGCTCCAAGAACCCCATAAAGGATAGATTCCAAGAGAAAAACACTGAGGCATGTCATAAGGAAATTCTGCAAAACCAAAGACAAAGAAAGAATCTTATGAGCTGCCAGGGACTAAAGAAATACTACTTACAATAAACAAACAGGCTGAGCTCTGATTACTCAACAGTAACCATGCAGACAAGAAGTCAATGGGATGACATATATTAAACACTGAAGGAAAAGAACTTCTAACCAAGAATCCAATATCCAGCCAAATTGTCCATCAAGTATTAGGGAGAAATCAAGACATTCTCAGACAAACAGAAATTAAGGGATTTTGTGAAAACCAGACCAACTCTACAAGAAATACTTAAGGAAGTCCTTCCAATAGAGAACCCACAACAGAGAACAGCACAATCAGGACACATAACATCAGTACTAAAACCAAATTCCAAATACACACTCAAAATAGACCATAAAACATTGTACACTAAAAATCAAGTAAGCCAATCTGCACATGACAACTAACCAAATAGAGGGAATAAAAGTTCAGGTTACAAACTTCAAAATGGAGATGAAAACAGAACAATGTCCTCATAGAACAGACTGGTCCAAAAATATAGAAACAAGAATTCACTCCAAGGTAACCACAGAGAAAATTAACAATCCCCGTAAGCAAATCCAAGGAAGGAAAACATGGGTTTAGTAAGCACAAAACTAACAATAAAGAAGAAAAGAGAGGAAACACTTGACAAGAAAACGAACTCAGCTCAGAAAAGTATATGGACCAAGGAAACTCCAGCAACATGCCAAAAAGCACAATTGAATGACAGCACTCAATTCCTACCTATCACTAATTACACTCAACGTGAATGGACTAAATGCACCAATCAAGAGAAAGAGAGCGGCAGACTGGATAACAAAAGAAGACCCATCAAAATGCTGTCTATAAGAGACCCACCTTAGCCACAAAGATAAAAACAAATTAGGAGTTAAAGGATGGAAAAAAATATACCAAGGCAATGGTAACCAAAATAGAGCAGGAGTTGCAATATTAATTTCTGATAAAATAGACTTTAAGGTGTAAAACAACATAAGAGACAAAGAAGGCCACTATATGAAAGGGTAAATTGACCAAGAAGATATTATGATAATATCTATGCCACTGTTGAAAGTGCTCCAAAATACTTGAAGCAAATATTAATTGAATTAAAAGGGACAATAGACAACTCTACAATAGTAATAGGAGACTTTCATGTACCACTTTCAAGGAGGGTAGATCTACTAGAGAAAAAACAAAGATACAGAAGAACTCAACAACACAATCAACCAACTTGACCTCGTAGATGTGAAAAAGCTCATTCCATCCAGCAAAAGCACAATTCATATTCTTCTCCAGGGCATGTGGATCCTTCTCCAGAATAGATCATATGTTAGGACATAAAACAAGCCTCAATAAATTCAAAAACATTGAAATACTACAAAGCATCTTCTCAGACCACAGTGTTATAAAATTAGATTTAATAATAGGAAGATTGAGGAAAAAACATCAAACGTGGAAGTTGAACAATACACTGCTCAGAAACTACTGGGTAATAGAATAAAAAGTGAAATAAAAAAATTCCTAGAAATAAACAAGAATGAAGATACATCATACCAAAACCTATGGGACACAACAAAAGCAGTACTCGGGGCAGTGTATAGCAATAAATGCATACATTGAAAAAGAGGAAAGAAACTGTGGTGTAGTAAGTTACTTAGTGTGGCTTTTCTAGCCATTAGTCTTTGTAAACTCTGGTGGAATCT